TTCATTATATTCCATAAATGAGTGAGATCATGTGATATTTATATTGCTCTGACTGGGATATTTCACTTAGCATAATGATCTCCAGTTCCATCCATGCTGTTGTAAATGGTAAGAATTCCTTCTTTTTTTTTACTGCAGTGTAGTATTCCATTGTGTAGATGTACCACAGTTTTTTTTTTTTTTTTTAATTAAATCTTTTTTGTTCAGGTTACATTTGTTCCTCTTTTTTTCCCCCATAACTCCCCTCCTCCCAGTTCCCACCCCACCCTCCGCCCTCACTCCCCACCCACTGTCCTCATCCATAGGTGCACGATTTTTGTCCAGTTTCTTCCCGCATCTCCCATTCCCCTTTCCCCCCCAAGAATAGTCAGTCCATTCCCTTTCTATGTCCCTGATTCATTATAATCACCAGTTCATTCTGTACATCAGATTATTTATTCACTTGGTTCTTAGATTCACTTGTTGATAGATGCATGTTTGTTGTTCACAATTTGTATCTTTACCTTTTTCTTCTTCCTCTTCTTAAAGGATACCTTTCAGCATTTCGTATAATACTGGTTTAGTGGTGATGAACTCCTTTAGCTTTTCCTTATCTGTGAAGCTCTTTATCTGACCTTCAATTCTGAATGATAGCTTTGCTGGATAAAGTAATCTTGGTTGTAGGTTCTTGGTATTCATCACTTTGAATATTTCTTGCCATTCCCTTCTGGCCTGCCAAGTTTCTGTTGAGAAATCAGCTGACAGTCGTATGGGTATTCCCTTGTAGGTAACTGAGTTTCTTTCTCTTGCTGCTTTTAAGATTCTCTCTTTGTCTTTTGCTCTTGGCATTTTAATTATGATGTGTCTTGGTGTGGTCCTCTTTGGATTCCTTTTGTTTGGGGTTCTCTGCGCTTCTTGGACCTGTAAGTCCATTTCTTTCACCAGGTGGGGGAAGTTTTCTGCCATTATTTCTTCAAATAGGTTTTCAATATCTTGCTGTCTCTCATCTTCTGGCACCCCAATTATTCTGATGTTTGTACGCTTGAAGCTGTCCCAGAGGCTCCTTACACTATCTTCGTATTTTCGGATTCTTTTTTCATTTTGCTTTTCCGGTTGGGTGTTTTTTGCTTCTTCGCATTTCAAATCTTTGGCTTGATTCTTGCGCTCCTCTGGTCTGCTATTGGGTGTAATATTCTTTATTTCAGAGCGTGTATGCTTAATTTCTAGTTTCTTTATCATAGCATCGAGGGTCTCATTAGTTTTCGTGAGGCTCTCCAGAAGTTTATTGCAAGCCCTCAAAATTGCGTTTTTTAGCTCTATATCGTCCATTTCTGTCATGTTTTTTTGTCTCCGCATTTTTTATGCTTTCTTGGTGCACCCCCTAGTGGTCTTTGTGCGCAGTCTTGTTCTAGTTGAGCCTTGATTGTTGTAGTTAATACTAGAGGGATTTGACCACCAGGCCGACTGGCTGTGTGAATCAGCTGTGTCTGCCGCGGAAAACTTCTGTCCTCTGGGGAGGTGCTAATCTAGCCTTTGCCTGAGGCGATCCGGCAAATGGCTCTGCGCAGGGCTTGGGCGGGGCGGGCTCAACAGGGCGGGCGGAGGGAGCCGTTATGGTGCCCTCAGTCCTGTTCCCAGAGGCTCTGCTTCTCAGAACCCCCGGAACCGCTGCAAACCTCGGAGGGAAAGCTGCCTTCCAACTGATGCCAGACACTCCCGCTTCTCCCGTTTGGGTCCGAGTCCCCAGCGATTCGCCCGTATCTGGAGCTCAGAGTCTGAGACTCCCCCCTGACCGAAAACGACAACCGCGCTCTCAGCCACCAGCCCGCTTTGCGCGCGCACCTCCGCACCTGAGTTTTTTCCACACTGCGCCTCCTCTGAGCCTCGGTGTGCTGTTATTTTTCCTTCTAGTTGAAGAGTCTCTCCTCAGCCAGCCTTCCTGTGGTTCTGGGTGATGTCCGTTCCGTCTTTTAGTTGTATTTTTGAAGTGGTTGTTTGCGGCAGCAGTCTCCTATGTTTACCTATGCCGCCATCTTGGTCTCTCCCCTCCAAAGCCTGTTAAATCACATTGTTTACCCATACCTTCAGAAAAAAATCACTTCTACTGTCATGGTAAACAACCTGCTTCCCTATTTATAATGGTCTGGACCTCTAGCAACATCAGCGCGAAATTATAGCTAATTTGCCTACAAATGTCAGTAGAATAGTGTCTTTAAATTCTCTCTTAAGATCAACCATTCTATGGACTCACCACAGGTTTGTTTTTGTGTCTGAATTTTTTACTAAAGCTTATTTATGTTTAGAAGATTTGTGCTTGCAATTGCTTTAAAGAATTTCAATCTGTGATATGTTAACGTTTATGTATGTATTTAGTCATACATTGAATCAGTAAACTGTCAATGGATATTTCTGTTGATTACAGTCTATGGCTATTATGAAAGGTGTTCCTAGACCTCTTTAATCCTCTTTTAATAGCTAAATTAGAATTAAGATTACATAGACTAAATATTTTTCCTTTTTTTAGTACTGAAGTTTTTTCTTTCCCTCATGCTGTGTACATATCTGTGTTCATATATGTAATATGTATATGTATACTATATGTATGTTATACAGTGTATATACAGATATTAATCATATATATATATATATATAACAGTTTGATTTTCTCATCATAAGGTATGAGATTTTTTCATCTATGTTGAGACTTTATACATACTATAACCTAAATAATTTTCACAATTTGTTCCCCAACAGCAGGCTATGATAGCTCCAGTTGTTCCACAACTCTACAACACTTGGTGTTATCAATGTTTTGAATTTTAGCTATCTTGGATATGCTTAATATTATTTCATTGTAGCTTTAATTTATATTTCTCGGATTAGTAAAAAGATTGAACACTTATTGGCCCTTTGAGTATTACCTTTGTGAAGGCCTGTTCATCAATCATTATTCTGGATAATATGTTATTTAAAAAAAAAAAAACAAACTACCAGGGTGGAGACAAAATTGTGGCCAAATAGGCAGACATGTCCCGAGCCTTATCCCAGAGCAGATAGACAGAGCAACTAAATCGAATAACATCCACCCAGAATTGGCAAAGTAGACACAGCTGGTGAGACAATTCGCAGCCAGGAAGGGCAGTGGATACCTGGAGAACGGTAAAATCAGGGATCTGGGCTGGAGAGAATTGTGAGACCGCCTAGCCTAGAGGGTCAGAAGGAAGCCACACAGCACCAAGGCCATGTCCCTTGGGACTGGTGTGACATCTGCCTGTGGAAAAGAAGCCAACGGCTGCTGGCAGCAGGGGATTCTAGATCAAAGCCCACAGCCATGAGAGGCTAAGCCCAGAGGGGCAGCCTCAACAACTGCCCAAGCCACGCAGTGCTGGGGCGAGAGAACCTCAGAGTGGTGCAGCTCTTTCCTCTCTTGTTGGTCTTTGCTTTTATTCGCTAAACCCAGTTCATGGGACCTTTCAAATAAAAACACTAACCCGTGGCTGAGGTGCAGGCAGAGGTGAGGACTTGTGGAGTCTGGGGAGAGGCTGGGGAAAAGAGCAGATTGGGGAGAGGGGGCCGGGAGTCTGGCACTGGGACATACCAGACACTCCAGACCTAAGCAGCCATTTTCTCCTGAAGAGATACCCCTCCCTGCAGCCTCCAGACTACCAATACAGCCACACCCTGGGTGTTACAAAGGATACCAAAAATGTGAATAGTCCCTGAGAGCCCTGGGCTAAAGAGAGGCCATTCAGTTCAGGAAAGCGATACAGCAACCTCCCTAACAATAGCCTTGTCAGAATTAGCTGCTTGAGAGATTAAGATTGAAAGTGGACAGACAGGCTAAGTGGGCAGATTGGTCCTGCCTGCTGGCAGTCAATGTGGTGGAGGTAGACACAAACAGAGGAGCCGTGGATAACTTGGAACTTCAACACGGTGCTGACTACCTAATAGGAAATTGAGAAGTGGCAGATAGTACAGAAGCATGGGATCTTAAACCAGCCCTCATGGGGCATTAAAACTCGGTGGAAATAAATGACAATTCATTTTTTAATTTTTATTTCATTTTATTTGATTTGATCATTATTTTGTCATCTCCTTTTTTTCTTTGTTGTTTTTTTTTGTTTCTTTATTTTTCATTTCTTTTCGCATTATTTTTCCATTATCCTATTTTTATTTTTTTATTATTTTATCCTATTTTTTTAAAAAAAAATTTCTTTCTTTCTCTTTCTTTTTCTTCTTATCCACTCATCCTTTTTCTACTTCCTCTATACTGAACCGAGGTCCTCCCCATATTCATCCAATTCCTTAACCTTACTATCTGTATATAAGTTCGGCCTCTGAAGATACTGCTCCCATCCTCTTTTTAGGGTGTTTGGTGTTGGCATTTTTTGGTTTATCTGTTTGTTCTTTGGTGTGATATATATTTCTTTTCTCTCTTACCATTTTTTTTTCAACTCAATATCATTGGTGCTCTTTTCTCTCCCCAAATTCTCTTTTCTCTGGTGGTTACTTATATTAGGGTAATTTGTGTCATGAGTACATTCATGTTTTGTTCCCTTTGTGTCATGTCATGTCAAGTTGCATTTTGTCCTGTTTGGTCAATTTGGTAGAGAGAGAGCCACATAACCAGATACCTGGAGAGGAGACTCCATCCATGAATGAGTCAATAACTCTCCAGACCCAAATACAGAGGCAGGAAGATGGCAGCTGGGAGGACAACAGTGAGGGAGAGAGCATGAGTGAGTGAGAGAGTGAAAGGTGAGTGTGCGGACATGTGATGTGTGGTGTGTGTGTGTGTGTGTATGTGAGGGAGGGACAATTAGATCCTGCAGGACTTTTGTGGGCTGGCAGATTGGGCTTGCCTAGCCAGGCAGCCTCAGTTGCTGTTGCAAACAGTCCTGGGGCAGTTAGCTCTCCTGCACAGGCCGCACCATTTTTAAGCGCAGAGCTGCTATGACTGGGAGCCCAGCCTTACCTCAACCCAGGGTACTCTCAGACATGACCTGTGTCTCTACAGCCACCCTCTCCAGGGACCTGCTGCCTCAGCTACAGTCCCATGGACACCGAGACTCCAGCCACCACAGTCATGTCTCCTGTGAGTTCCGAAGCGCTCTCTCCTCTGGCCAGCCCGATGCTTTAGCCCAGGGTGCTGCAACTGCATGAGAAGCAGCCGTGAAAGCATCCCAGCCCCATCCAAGGAGCAGCAGCCGCATGAGCAGCCCGCCCCTGTACAAGGAGCAGCAGCCCCGTGAGCAGCCTTCCCCCATCTGAAGAGCAGCAGCCTCACGCAGACAACCACTATTCAAGGAGCAGCAGCCCTGCGAGCATCCTGCCCCCGTTGGAGGAGCAGTAGCTGTGTACAGCACACCCCCATCCGAGGAGCAGCAGCCGCGTATAGTCCACCCCCATCCAAAGAGCAGCAGCTGTGTGAGCAGTCCACCCCAAGAAGCTAGAGGAGCAACAACTGCTGTGAGTAGGCATGGGAGCAGTGCCCACCTGAGGAGCTGCCAACAATTGAGGAGCAGCCCCTGCACAACTCAACATGTAGATTCTTTGGTGAGAGCAAAAAATGGGGATACAAAGAAACCCCCAAAGGAAAGAAAAGGAGGAATTGCCAGAAAAGAAGCTAAGTGAAACGGAGGCTTGCAATATGTCAGAAAATTAATTTAGGATAAGGGTCATACAGTTCATAAACCAGATGGATGAAAAAATCAACAACTTATGTAAGAATCAAGAGGAAATAAAGAGTGATAAAGCTACAATAAAAAACACTATGGAAAGTTTCAACAGTACACTAGGAGAAGCAGAGGACCCAATTAGCGAATTAGAAGACAGGGCCGCAAAACACATGCAAACTGAACTGCAATTGGAGAAAAAAAAAAGGGGGGGGAGAGCCTAAGAGAGCTTTGAGACAACCAGAAATGAAGAAACATACGAATAATAGGGGTTCCAAAATGACAAGAAGAGGAATAAGAGTTAGAAAACCTATTTGAAGAAATAATGTCAGAAATCTTCCCTGACTTAGGAAAGAAAAAAGTCACAAAAGCACAGAGTCCCAAACAAAATGAGCCCCAAAAGACCCAACCAAGACATGTCGTAATTACAATGGCAAATGTTCAAGACAAAGAGAGAATTTTAAAGGCTGCAAGAGAGAGACAGAAAGTTACGTACAAGGGATCTCCCATTAGATCAGCGGTTCTCAACCTGTGGGTCACGACCCCTTTGGCAGTCGAACAACCCTTTCACAGGGGTTGCCTAAGACCATCCTGCATATCAGATATTTACATTATGATTCATAACAGTAGCAACATTACAGTTATGAAGTAGCAATTAAAATAATTTTATGGTTGGGTCACAACATGAGGAACTGTATTTAAAGGGCCAGGAGGTTGAGCACCACTGCATTAGATTATCAACTGATTTCTCAACAGAAACACATCAGGCCAGAAAGAAATAGAAGGACGTTTACAAAGTGATGAAAAGCAAGGGACTGAATCCAAGAATACTCTATCCAGCAAAGCTATCATTCAAAATTGAAGGGGAAATAATGAGGTTCACAGACAAAAGAGGCTAAGAGATTTTATAACTACCAAGCTAGCAATGCAAGAAATGCTAAAAGGACTGGTGTAAAATGAAAAAATAAAAAAGAAAGAAGGGACACAGTCACAAAAATAAATATAGCTACAAACAAGTACCTTCAATAATAACTTTAAACCTAAATGGACTAAATGCTCCAATCAAAAGACATCAAGTGGCTGAATGGATAAGAAACAATGACCCATATATATGCTGTCTAAAGAGACCCACCTCAGAACAAGGGACTCACACAGACTGAAAGTGAAGGGATGAAAAATATCTTTCAGGCTAATGAAAAGAAGAAAAAAGCAGGGGTAGCAATACTTATATCTGACAAAATAGACCTCAAAATGAAGGCCATAACAAGAGATAAGGAAGGCCACTTCATAATACTAAAGTGATCAATACAAGAGTATATAACTCTGGTAAGCATATATGCACCCAATGCAGGAGCACCCAAATACATAAAAAACAAAAACAAACAAACAAACAAAAAACTCCTGGATGATATCAAGAAAGACATCAACAAAAATACAATCATTGTAGGGGACTCTAATACCCCATTGACATCACTGGATAAATCCTCTAGACAAAAAATCAGCAAAGAAACAACAATCTTAAATGACTCACTAGATCAGATGGACTTAATTGACATCTTCAGAACTTTTCACCCCAAAGCCACAGAATATACATTCATCTCAAGTGCACATGGGACATTTTCAAAGATAGACCACATATTGGGTCACAGGCAAAGTCTCTCCAAATTCAAGAAGATTGAAATCATATCAAGCATCTTCTCAGACCACAATGGCATAATTTTAGAAATAAACTATAATAAAAACAATAAAAAAAATCAAACACTTGGAGGCTAAATAGCATGCTATTAAACAAAGATTGGGTTACCAAAGAGATAAAAGAAAATATCAAAAACATCCTGGAAATGAATGAGAATGAAAACACAACAATCCAAAATCTATGGGACACAGTGAAAACAGTCCTGGGAGGGAAGTTCATAGCATTACAGGTCTACCTCAAAAAACAAGGAAAATGGTAATAAATTATCTCTACAACTTAAAGAATTCAAAAGAGAGCAACAAGAAAAGCCCAGAGTGAGCAGAAGGAAGGAGATAATAAAGATCATAGCAGAAATAAATGAAATAGAGACAAAAAAAGAAACAATACAAAAGATCAATGAAACCAAAAGCTGGTTCTTTAAGAGGATAAACAAGATTGATGAACCTCTAGCCAGGCTCCCAATAAGAGAAGGGAGAAGACCCAAATAAACAAAATCAGAAATGAGAGAGGTGAAATAAAAACAGACCCCACAGAAATACAAAGGATTGTAAAAAAATACTACGAATAACTTTATTTCAACAAACTAGACAACTTATAGGAAATGGACATATTCCTAGAAAAATACAACATTCCAAAACTCAATCAGGAAGATTCTAAAAATCTCAATAGGCCAATAACTATGGAGTAAATTGTAGCAGTTATCAAAAAGCTTCCAGCAAACAAAAGTCTGGGGATGGTCGGCTTCACAGGGGTGTTTTGCCAAACATTCAAAGAAGAATTAAAACTTATCCTCCTCAGACTATTGCAAAAACTTTAAGAGGAAGGAACATTTCCAAGCTCATTCTATGAAGCCAGCATTACCCTAATACCAAAACTAGATAAAGACAACACAATGAAAGAGAATTACAGGTCAATATCCCTCATGAAAATAGATGTCAAAATCCTCAACAAAATTCTAGCAAATCAGATCCAGCAGTACATCAGAAAGATCATACACCATGACCAAGTAGGATTTATCCCAGGGATGCAAGGATGGTACAATATCCTCAAATCAATAAATGTGATACATCACATAAACAAACTGAAAGACAAAAATCACATGGTCATATCAATTGATGCAGAAAAATCATTTGACAAAATCCAACACCCTTTCTTGATAAAAACCCTCAGCAAAGTGGGAATAGAGGGATCATACCTCAACATAATAAAAGCCTTATATGACAAATCCACAACCAACATCATATTCAATGGGCGAAAACTAACACCATTTCACATAAGAACAGGAACAAGACAAGGATGCCCACTTTCACCACCCCTGTTTGACATAGTACTGGAAGTGCTAAACATAGTGCTTAGACAAGAGAATTAATAAAAGGTATCCGAATTGGAAAAGAAGAAATAAAACTGTCACTATTTGAAGATGACATGGTATTGTACACAGAAAACCCTAAAGACTCCATAAAAAATTATTAGACTTAATAAATGAATTTGGCAATCTAGCAGGATACAAAATTAACGCCCATAAATCTTTGGCATTTTTATACACCAATGGTGAATTTACAGAAGGAGAGATTTAAAAAACCAACCTCATTTACCATTGCACCAAAAAAACTAAGATACCTAAGTATAAACTTAACTAAGGAGGTAAAAGACCTGTACTCAGAAAACTACAGGACACTGAATAAAGAGATAGAGGAAGATATAAACAGATGGAAGAACATACCGTGTTCATGGATTGGTAGAATCAACATCATTAAAATGTCCATACTACCCAAAGCAATCTATAGATTCAATGCACTCCCCATTAAAATGCCAATGGCATATTTCACAGACCTAGAATGAACACTCCAAAAATTCATCTGGAATTTTAAAAAAAGACCCCGAATAGCTGCAGCAATTCTGAGAAAGAACAAAGTAGGAGAGATCTCAATACCAGATATCAAGCTGTATTACAAAGCTGCTGTTTTCAAAACTGCCTCATACTGCCACAAGAAGAGACATATAGACCACTGGAACAGAACAGAGAACCCAGAAATCGACCCAAACCACTATGCTCAATTAATATTTGACAAAGGAGGCAAGAGCATTCAATGGAGTCAAGACAGTCTCTTCAATAAATGGTATTAGGAAAATTGGACAGATACATGCAAAAAAGTGAAACTAGACCACCAACTTACAGCATACACAAGAATAAACTCAAATTGGATAAAAAACTTAAACGTAAGACGGGAAACCATAAAAATACTAGAGGAATCCACAGGCAGCAAAATC